GGCAGTGAAGGACAGGAAGGCCTGGCGCAATATGGTTCATGGGGTCACGAAGAGTCGGACACGACTTAACGACTGAACAACAACAAATGACACTCCTAAGAAACTCTCTTGGATTGTAGCACATGCTTCTGGTTTCAGCACCTCCTCCCATATGAATAAGAAAACGCTGTCTTTGGAAGGGATGATCTGCTGCTAAGAACAACTCTTCTTCTTGCCCTTACAATTACCCAGGTTTACCTGGAGCATCTTTTCTTTCCAGCATCTTCATTTTATCTGCCAGGTTGCTTTCTGCGAAGCTGTAACATGCGCACAAGGGGCAGCAGCATCTAGACACAATAAACCAGCAATAAACCAGCATCTGGATTCATTAACAGCACTTGCTCTGAATCAGTTGCATCCAATTTGATCTCTGAAGAAATAAAGTTGTCCACTTTCACTGGGTTCAATCTGAACAGAGACGGTCTGCCAATATATGGTTTGGTTTATTGCTTTACTGTTTTTAATTGTTAGCCGCTCAGAATCATGCATTTGAGATGGCCAGCCATATAAATTTAACAAATAAATAATACATCTCTATATTGTCAGGGTTTGCGCATTTAATCCAGGATTTGTTTTAAACACTGGTCACTAAATTAGTAGGAATGAATTAATGTATTGTGCTTAAAACCAAAGAAATGACATTATGGCTTAGCCTAGTGTGTGAACCCAGACACCTGGAACCATGTGCTGCTTAAGATTAAATTAAGCAAAAGCCGGGGGGACCCACGTCTCCCATGATTTCACTTGTGGAGCTCACCTTTCCTTGGGCCGCTGATTAGCCGCCAATCACTTTTGCTATCCTCTTGGCTTGATATACATTTCAGCAATATATTCTGATAGCAATATATGGCAACATCAAAGTCGCTATTAGTCGAACCACAACAATAGTTTAGTATCTCAGAGAAACAGTTTGAAACCTCTCATGTTTTTCCGAGTTGACAGTCATTTCACTTTTTCTCCTAGTATATTTACTTCTCTGGAGTGTTGTGTATGTGGTGGCAATGGGGACTTCACTAGGTCTAAGCACCATCTGACTGAGAGTAACCTACTGCCCATGTCAAATCATTTCCACATCATTATTTGTTCCCTGGATGGGATGGGATGGGATGGGATGGGGCTCTCCCTTCAGATTAAAGGTAGTCAAGCAATAAGTAGAATAGAGCAACCCTATTCCCAACTCTCAGGACAAACTTACAGGTTTGTAAACTTACAAGTTTCACTGTAATGTGTATTTGTGTGCGTATGCAGTAAAACAGTATTACTTGCATTTGATAATACAAGGATGTCTAAAAAGGTAAGCATTAACTTCTACCACTTAATTTGAAAAAGATTTTTGGTGGATAGACAGACCTCATTTTGAAATCTCTGAGCAATGTTTTAATGCAGTGTTGTCCAAACTTGGCCACTTTAAGATGAGTGGACTTCAACTCCCAGAATTCCCCATCCAACCATGCTGGCTAGGGAAATCGGGGAGGTGAGGGCCAAGTCTCTTAAAAGTGCCTAGATTTGGGAAGACGGTTTTTATGAGATCTTGCCAAGCCTCGCAA